CAGGTTTCCAGAGGATCTTTGGAAAATCAGCTCCGTTCTTAGAAAACTAACATACAATGTTAGTAATTTTTTTGCATGCGTAGATAGTTCGTCATTTTTTTGCATGCTTAGTTACAGGGCGTTGTTTAAGGTTTCCAGAAACCTTCTAAAAAACCTCAAAGCGTCAGTGTCCTGCTGGACAGCTATTTCGGCGTGATCAACAATATATAGCGCCCTTTAAGTCTTTTCTGAAAGGTTCCTTGCCTCAGGGTGAGATTTGATCGAGATATAAGGATTTTAATTTTTGATAGTAACAGGCGAAAAACCTGTTAGTAGTAGTCGATTACCTATATTCCATGCCATTTCGAGATTCCCAGAGATGTCTGCTCGGTAGACACGTGCTCGGGGAAAGCGAGCTCTGTCCGAACGAAGATAGCTGGAGAGCCGGGACTTACATTCGTTTGTAGAGTAACGTCCGAACTATCTACGCATGCAAAAAAATTACTAACATTGTATGTTAGTTTTCTAAGAACGGAGCTGATTTTCCAAAGATCCTCTGGAAACCTGATCTTTGAAATTTTTTCAAAAGTTGTTTCCGCTTGTGAAAAGTTCCGCTCAAGTCTTGGCTATCGAACAGCGAAAAACGCAGGTCTCTACCTCATTCTTCTAAAACGTTATTCAAAAAACATCAGCCTCACTATATTTTGGCGCCCATAGTAGCATATGTTGTACGTTAATGTTTTCGTTGTTTTTGCCTTTTCCAACTGTGCAACAGACAGAGTGCATGTGTGATTCATCACTTTTCTTTACTTTGTCATTGTTGTAAGTGTACACATCGTGCTTAGTTTAAGGTGAGCGAAGAAAAAAAATACCCACTCAATGTGGTAATATTGAAATATAAAGCTATATACAACACGAAAAGGACAATAGCGAGAAGAAAAACAGAACAACTCATCCATACTACGGCATACGTTAAAACCGAGTTATCCATTCATGTCATTCACATCCGTATTAAAAAGAATGAAACTTAAATACCTCTTAGTTTGATTTGAAAATCAGCACGACCTAAAAAATAAATATCACCTTCATGGTTATAATAAGCTAAATCGCCCGTTCTGTAACATTTTTCTTCTATTCCAGGTAAACTAATTAAACATTGTTCAGTTAAATTATCACGATTTAAATATCCAGCAAACACACCAGATCCTCCAATGAATATCTCTCCAACTTTTCCAATCACGACTGATTGTAAATGCTCATCCAAAATGTAACATTGATAATTTGGAAGTGGACGACCAATTGAAATCGACTGAGTTGCTAAATCTTCAGAAATAATACGATGATACGTTGCAACAAGAGTAGATTCTGTTGGGCCGTAAAAATTAATCATTTGACATTGTGATGGCAGATATGGTACCCATTTTGAGACAACGTGTGAGAGCAGAGCTTCACCTAAAAGTTTCAACAAAAACATCAATAGAAGAAGAAGAAACTATAGGTCGACAAAATGAAATCACAAAGAGTTTACCTGAACATCGAAATATTCGTACTGTTTTGATACGATCAAACCGTGTTTTCGATTGCAAGTATTCAAATAATGTTATTAATATAGTGGGTACAACAGTTACATGTGTAATTTGTTTATTTTGGATTACATACGATAAATAATCGATATCACGATGAAGATCTTGTTGCAGCATAACTAGAGTAGCCCCCACAATTATTGAGCTTAATATTTCGTGTAGATGAACATCCCATAAACACGACGCCCGTTGTAGAACAACATCATTACCGTTCATTATATCTAAGTACAATATAGAATTCGTGTATGAAACAAAATTTCTATGACAAATTTGGACTGCTTTTGGTTTTCCCGTTGATCCTGATGTGAATATGACGTATGCAATATTCTTAATTGTTACATGAACATTTGATAAAAGATTTAATTCTTCTTTATAAATAATTTCATTATGAATAATCTGTTCAATATCAATAATACTAAAACTGCCATTATTATTGATCAAATCATTAAATTTATTTTGCGATTGTTTATGGACAAGTACAATTCGAGCTTTTGTCTCTTTGATTAGATTATAAATACGTATATACGGATCCTCTGGAGACAATGAACAATAGGAAGCACCACAGGTTTGTATCACAAGAATACCAATGACCATTTCAATACTTCTTTCGACACATTGGCAAATAATCTCGCCTGGATTTATACAATATTTTCTCATCAGATGCATCGATAAGTGTTGTATATAATATAAAATTTCACCATATGTTAATGATTGTTCATCTAGTATAATTGCAACCTTTTGTGGTTGCTCAATAGCTTTTTTAAAAAATTCATGATGTATACATTTTATTTCATTATCGAAATTAACATTTGTTTGATTTATGTCTTCCAGTAGATTAATTTCATTTGGTAAAAGAATAGATAATTGATAAACAGATTGCTTTTCAAGACTGAATGATGATAAAAATAATTGCTGTAATAATGTTTGAAATCTTTTCATCATCTCTTGTATTGTTGCTGCGTCAAATAAGTCACAAGCATACTCAAATGAACAACACATTGTTGCATTTTGATGATTATAATTCATTGATAATGTTACGTCAAATTTTGATAGATAATTACTGTTATCATCTTCGCATACAATAGTAGTATTATCCAAATAGACAAATTCGCCAACTATTAATGACCCGAATTCGAATGTTGTTTGAATAATCGACGAAAAAAACGATTGTTCTTGTCCATGTAAACATATGGTTTCTTGACAGTGTAAGGATGAAAATTGTAGTATTTTTTGACATAATTGTTGTACTTGTAATAATAGTTGATTGAACGGCAGTGTTGGATTTAATTTAAAACGACATGGCATCAGATTCTGTGAAACCTGTCGATTTATAGTACCAATACACAAATCTTTTTCACCATTTGTCAGTTTAAACAGAAATACATAATAAATTGTTAAACCCAACTGAAACATTGATACTCGTGACTCTTGTGCATATGTTAACATTCTATCAACGAGTTTTTGATCGAATTCAAGTGTTACAGATGAACGTTGACCACTACGTCCTGTAGTTGTTATTTTATTATTATATGGTAACTGCAACTGTTTATCTATTTCATAACCATTTAATATATGTTTCCAATATCCTTCAGCTTCGCCCATGCCTATATCTCGTTTCTCTACTTTATAGGCAATATTTGTAATAAATATGATGTGAAATAAATCTAAATAAAAACACACACAATTTTTGCATTTGTGCCTCTAGATTTTTTATTGAAAGTGAGTGACGCATTTAATGAGGAGCGGGACAGGGCCGATGGTTTTTGAAACGTTGCCCAATGACTTGTTTAGGAATTTTGCCAGGACTTTTGTTAGGAAGTTTGCGCAATGGCTTTTCTCATTTTATTGTAAGCGGACCATTGTATCTGCAAAATTGCTGTTTGAACTACGATCTGATCTTTAAACGGAAGAAAAGAATTTGCGCTTAGGGCGATGTATCATTGGCGGATATTCACTTAGCGCGATGTTTCGTTGGCGAATATTCCCTTTAATGGTGACTTCAGTCATTAGTCATATGCTTTCTCTTTTTGACACTTTGAGTTAGATGCCGTCCATTATAGAGTCAACTGATCTTTGCAAAATGACATCGTACTCGACTCTGTCTGACCATTTCTGAAGGAGGTATGGTTTTTTTTCATAGTATACATAGTTCGCATTCGGCGAATTTAAAAGAAGTCCATACAGCCGCTTCACAGCGAAGTGAAAAACATTATGTGCGAATTATTTTCGGTGTGTACGAGATTCTGCGCTACTTGAAATTGCTCCCATAATCCGCAACAATGTTAGACTAATTTTCTCTGTTTATAGGATTCTTAGGATTCTAGGATTCAGGAATTCTGAAAAAAGAAAATACGGCTAACATCTGTGCGAATTATCCGAGCAATTACAGGAATCCCAGAATTCAAGAAAGATGGAGAAGTGCCTTACTTGGACGATACTATGGGTGTACAGACAAATACATTATGGAGATGGTTGTTATTGCAGTGTAAATTTGCCTTCGCTGCGAAGAAGTATCACGCATAATGTCGTTTTTTTAATATTTTATGTGCTAAAAGTTTCTAGTTGTGCACTTTCAAAAGTTTTACATGTGGCCAGACGACAAGAAATTTTCAAATCTATAGTGTTGTTTTGTAGAACAAAGTGTTTTCTTCAAATGAGACGTCGATCGCTCTTTCGACCCGCTCGGAAAACTCTTCTAAAGCCATCCGCGAGTCTGTCATGATGCCGAAGCTCAAATCGATTTCACAATAGGGCATTTCTAACATCGTTTTTGCTGAGAGATAAGCACTGATTCCCAAAATTTCATTATAATACAGGGTATTTTATACGAGTAGTGTTTGTAGTCTACTCTATTCACATTATGGTGTTGAGACTCTATTTCAAGAGCGAATGTTTGTTTAAAAGCACTTTTTGAAATTTTACTCAGAACGTATTCTGGCAGCCACATAAAAAATCTTGGTTTTCGCGTATAATGATGGTATGAGAGAAAATGTGTTTTAATCTGTAATCTATGGTCTCGAGCCATTGATTAACAGCTACAGTCAGAACGGCCTGGCCAGCTAACGGTAACCTTGAAGGTTGAAGGAAACGTTTTTCTCTCATATCAACCTTTACTATATATCATCACACGCAGCTTTTTATGCTGATTATGGATATCAACTTTATTTTTAACGAAAATCTGATGTTGAATTAAAACATTTAGCGTTAAATTTTCCAAATTTTTTAATTTCAATTTCTTGACCCACTTATTTCGTTCGAAAATTTTGAGAACTATGCTACTAGATAGATAATTAGATTTCTTTACAAAATGTACTATTGTTTTTGAAGTCCTACCGTCGGCTAAGGTGTTTTCTAAAAAAGTTAAGGTTTCACCCTTTTTCGCTATTTTTCGACAAAATGTTTTTGGGGTTCTTTTTCTGAGAGGATTTTCGAAGCTTTAACAAAACGTTTTGACTTTTTCTTTAAGCGCGTCATGTAGAGGACACTTGACACTACATATGCCGCTTCAAATTAGGACCTGTTGTAAGTTTTAATTATCGAAAAAAAGGAGATGAAACCTTCTCAATTGGAAGCAGAAAGACGATGAAATTCCGTCACGAAATCAGATTCCGTATCGAGTTGAGATTGTTTAGAGTTGAGGATACCAGGGGCGCTCACCTTACTTATCGCACTTGTAGGGAAAACCATCTGTCCTAGAAAACGATTCTATTACTTCGAGATCAAGTCGAAACTGTGAAACTTTTCTCTACTAGTTAACTGGAAGTGTCTGGATTCATACATAGCATCGTTTTCATTTTTTATTTCGCCTTCTTTAATAAAAAAGTTTCGCCGGAAAACACAGAAACGTGTTAGAATAAAAATTTGGTTTTTTAAATGAAAAAATTGATGTGTTTATTATCTTCTTTTTAACTATAAAATAGTTGAAACTGTAAGAACTTAAAAATAAAACTTACGATAGCAAAATTTACGTTATTGTGCGATGTTAACAACATAACAAAATATAAAATTTAACGGATAAAATATTTACTTTAACGTATGGTGACACAAAAATATAAAACTAACGAAATATTTACTTATAAGAAATTTTCTTTTCACGATATGAACAGCATACAAAACAATATTAAACGAACAAAATACATAAAAATGTATATCTCCGCAAGAAAATGTCATGAAGAATCGGGAAAGATCTCATTTTGCAGACTACACTTGACCCTCTATGTTCTGACATGTTAAGCTCAAAATAAAATTATCGTCTCTCATGAAGAGGGCGGGTATCCCTTATTCAACACAACACAAGTTCAAGATAATGCATCCTCTCGCAGTTCATCATGAAGAGAGGATTTATGTTAAATATAAATAGTTTTCAAAACCACATAACACAACGGCAAAAAAATTCAAAATTTCCTTTGTAGTTTCGTATCTATGTTCTATAACGATCTTAAGAGAGGATTCGTAAGGAATACCAAGCATCAATCAAAGTACCCGTAATATAGTCAAAAATTCAAACGATTTTTTACGATTTTATTAGATAAAGCGTTCAAAATTACTCACAAAAGCCAAGTTTTTAAACCTTAGAGCCTAAAAACTGAGTGAGTCACCGGTTTTATACAAAATGCCCCAGAAAAAACTCGAAACAGTAGACTTCTATCATATTTTAATTTTCTTTCATTGAGAGTATTACAAGAAACACAAAGTATAAATTTCTCTTCACATGCATACCAATTGCTATCTAAAACTTTCATCTATCAGACTCTATCGTAAAAAACATATAACAATAAAAATATTAAATAATAAAAACATTCTTCAATACACTGCACTACACAAGGTCAACAGCACACTGCTTTCAACAGGTTAATACTATGTACAATACTTCAAGAGCAGCTTTTTTTGAGAATGAAATAGTCTGAGTCAAAACTAAAGTTTTGAAAAGTTGATGAATGATGCTAATTCTGGTGATATTAATATTAGAACTCATTTTGTAGACAATTGATCGTGCTATAAAATGCGCTAAAACTGTTCTCTTATAACAGGATTTGGCTGCATGGTAGCTATTTTACTAGAAAAAAACCAAGTATCTTAATCTAACAAATTTCAATAAGCTGAACTTTTTGCGATTAACTTATGACTTGAACCTCTCGAAATTAGCCAGACTTGTTCAGATTTTTATGCTTGTTCGATTCATGTGTAGCTCGGATTTTTAAAACAAGAAGCAGAAGAAGAAAAAGTTAAAATATGATAAAAGTCTACTGTTTCGAGTTTTTTTTCTGGAGCTTTTTGTATAAAATCGGTAACTCACTCATTTTTCGACTGTAAGGTTTAGAAACGTGGATTTTGAGGATTACTTTGAACCAAAAAAACTCATTTTAATCTCGAATCCTTGGGAGATTCGTAGTCATATATTTTTAGAGCAGGATCGGCAGGTATATTAGGATATCATTTGCATTGATATGTGTAATTAGCTATTTATATTACAACCTTTTTCATATAGTATGTATAGAAATAGAAGCAAATCGTCTCTAGTATATAGCTTTTTGGAAATTACAGGTATTTCAGGCTTTTGCACAAAAGTAAGGTGGTTTTCAGGTTTTCCCAAACATTTCAGGTATTTCAGGTGAAATTTCACCCCTGCGTCTGGCTAGCGGCTAATAGGCTCTACAAGAAAATGTCACGAAGAATCGGGAAAGATCTCATTTTGCAGATTACACTTGACTCTACATTGTGACATGTTAAGCTCAAAAGAAAATTATCGTCTCTCATGCAATAAGGGCGGTATCCCTTATTCAACACAACACAAGTTCAAGATAATTGACCCTCTCGCAGCTCATCATGAAGAGAGGATTTATGTTAAATATACATAGTTTTTCAAAACTGCATAACACAACGGCAAAAAAGTTCAAATTTTACGTACTTTTTAGTTTCGTATCTATGTTCTATAACGATTATAAATGATATATTTTAATGTGAGATATTCAGGTGCATACACAAAAATGAAATAAATAAGCCAAACAATGCCTGTATGACCCTATTTAGTTATTGACTTATTTTTTACAAGATACTGTGTAAAGCTCGGGAAGAGAAATTTATACTTTTTGGCTTATTTATCTCAGTTATGTGTATGCACCTGAATATCTCACATTAAAATATATCATTTATAATCGTTATAGAACATAGATAAGAACCTAAAAAGTACGTCAATTTTGAATTTTTTTGCCGTTGTGTTATCCGGTTTTGAAAACTATTTATATTTAACATAAATCCTCTCTTCATGATGAACTGCGAGAGAGTGAATTATCTTGAACTTGTGTTGTGTTGAATAAGCGATACCCGCGCTCTTCATGGGAGACGATAATTTAGATGTTAGAGATGGTAAATGCCCTTACTTTTCTATGACGGTATTGTGTTTTGAAATTTTGTACAATATTCACTTTTGTCTTAGTGTTAAAACTTTTGAACTAAAAACGACAATCTTGGAAAAGTTCGACTTTTGTCGAAAAGATTTTTTAAAAAACAAAAAGGAAAGAACGGAAAACGCGGAGGAACCCCACACCGGTTTCGACCTGCTCAAGGGGCTCTTCAGCT